AGCTCATGGTCTGTGGCCCCCTCAGACAGAGGAGGAGCAGCCCAGCAGTCCATATGGGGCAGCGAGGGGTCAGGCCTGGCCACAGTCATAGCAACTCGCGGACAGGCAGAGGGACGCGGGGGCAGTAAAAGGTCATGATGGGGATGAAGAGCTGAGGTTGGGTTTTGAGTGGTGGGAAACCATGAGGGACTCTTTTTGGGGAACAGAGATCCAACAGTAGCATCAGGTTGCTTCCAGGTGAGCAGAGTAGTACAGACCAGAGATTTGAGGCTCTCTGGGGCACACTGTTTCCAGAGCAAAGCCAAATCTCCTCACCCACACATTCCAGCCCTCTGGGACTTAGGGCCCCTCCTGCTTCTTCAGCCCCCTGCCCCTGACTTCCTTCCACTCACCCGCATCCCAACCTGCTGGGCCAGCTTGCAGTCCCCTGCCACACCTGCGGGTCTCCGTAACGTGGTCCACGCTGTTCCTTCTGCCTAGAACGCCCTCTCCAATCAACTCTACAATCTCCACAGATCTGGATTCTTTCCATCTCTCAAGGCACAGCACTAATGACACCTCCTCCAGGAAGCCTTCCCCCTTTCTCAGCCTGCACACCTGTCTTCTCATCCGGGTGGGCACAGATCCACTACACAGGAACATGAGCTCCCTGAAGGTAAAGCATGTGTTCAAGGCCCTCTCGATGACCAAACTCATCATGCTCGAAAACACAAACCAGCCCCTTCCAAGGACTAGGATGCCCACAGGAGCAGGCAATGCTCGGCCCCAGGCCGACCAACCTGGAGAAATGCCGCCGTTCGGAGGGCAACGTAGCACATGAGAGCAGGAGGCATTTCTGGTGGCTTTCTCTATTAGACAAGGGACAGGCCATCTCCCGATTTAACCCCCTGTGACCTTTGAACTTCCCAGGAGGTCAGCAGCACGTCCCCCTTCCCCAGCTGTCTTTCTGTCTCTGGCCCAATGGGAGGGAGGGCCCTGGGCCCGTTCCATTTTGTGCCCGTATTGATCTGTTGGCAGCAATGGGCTGGATAATTAGCCAGGAATTAGGGTTTCTATTACAGCCAGGAGGCTGCTCCAGCTGATTTATCACCTGAATAATTTACTGTGATTGAAAGGAAATTAAAATGAACTCCATTTGACAACTGTGAGCTTTTATGGGCTTTAGTGAAGGCTCAAAAGCCAGATTAATAGGCTGGTGTTGGTTAATAGTCTGCCGAGAGTGAATACGGCAGGCTGTGCTCCGTGGCAGCCTTCCTGCCGAGGCTGGAGGGACCAGCTCCCGCCAGGAGCACAGCGCCCACGACAGCGTCAATTCGAGTTTTCCTGAAACAGGTTTCACCGTTCCAAACAGAAACACGCACGCACGCACACGCCACCTGCAATTGTTACTGTTTTTTCCTCTTCTCCTCCAAGGTGATTTTTACTCACTCCACATGGAGAGAAAACAGAATTGCTTTTTCAATAACCATTTTGAAAAGGAAATGTTTCATTGCCCCAGGAGTGTGTACACATTAACCCCTTCCACCCCGGGCGAAGGGTTTCCTAAGTTTCCCTGTGGAAGTGAGAAGCCTGGCCCATCCACCCGGGGCAATCTGGGCGGGAAACGCAGCAAGATCACGGTGGGCCCTGAGCTCATGGAACTGACTGGCAGGACCCAACCGGGCCCTGAACGAGGATCTTCCCGTGGGCGTTAGGGTGACGTAGCAGGGAAAGTCTATGGCAAGTCTCTGAGGGTTCTGGAATAGCAGGCAGACTCTGGCTGCAAAAGGCCGGTTCTGAAAACCAGCCAGTCAGAAAACTGGTTTCTAAAATCTTTCGGGGGCATGAAGGCAGAAGACAAGATGTCCTGTACAAGATGAAAACAAGATCCTGAGGTCAAATTCCAGCTCTGTGGCCTCAACGAGTCCCAGAAGCCCCTGGCCTGGACACGGGGTGTGCAGTGAAAAGAAATGCCCCACGCTACAGAATGGGACCCGCAAACCTTGCCCAGCCTTTTACACTGAGAGTGCCGCCAGAGTGACCTGAGGTCTTTGGGAACTGTCCAGCACCCGCACAGGTGAGGAAGGCCACTGTTGTTACTACTGCTGCTGCTGTTACTGTTACTGTTATCAACGTTACAATTACTGCTGCAGATATGGAAAGTGGTTCCAAGGGAAAAGCGACTTCCCAACAGGGCAGAGCCAGGACTCAAGTCAAACTCCCCCAACTTCAAGGCCAGAAAATGCTCTTTCTTCCCCACCAGGCTGCTCGATAGAACTAACAGCAAGGCCCTCACCTAGGCCACTAGGCCTTGGAGTCACGGACCTGCTCACAATTGAAGGGGCCAGCTCAGCGGCCAGAGCTCTGGCCCCCTTCCTGGCACCACCATCAAGCCCACTCTGGGGCTCACAAGAGAGGCGAAAGCAAGCATACGGGGGCTCAAGGACGTGCCTGCCATCCCAGCCTGCAGCCCCTGGCTCGGACCATCATTTGTCCACAGTGATGGCAATCGGGAGCGAGGGTGTGTCATTCATAGTCCAGTGCCTGTGTGTGCCCGACAGCCCCGCAGCCTCACCTTCCATCTCTCCTCATTACCGCACATTACCAGGGGTGAAGCTGATTAACCAGAAAGCCCTGAGTCAGTCATTATCCCACCACACGGTTCACCTGCAGGCCTGCTTCAGCCCACACAGTTAGAGACAGGCCCACCGCCTGTCTGCGTCATTCTGAAGGACACCGCAGGGCGAGACTGCTGGAAGCGGAGCCCTCACAGGGTTTCTGATTCAGGTCTCCTGTCCATCAGGCCCCATCTCTACATGGGCCTACTGACCTGTCCCTCAACATCACCTCCTCTGTAACATCCCCCTTGATGCTGAGGCCACGTCTCCCTTCATCGGGGCTGCAGAACCTTCTCCCTGGCCTTGCAGAGTCTGAATCCATCATATTGCCCCTGGGAGCTGGTGCCTGATTCATCCCTCCCTCCCCTGGGTGCCTGGCACTGTGCCAGGCTCACAGTCAGCATGCAAGAATTATGTTGGATGAATGAGCATACGAGTATCTGAGAAGGTGAGTGAATGGATACGCGGATGCACTCCTCCTGATTACGAAGCCCTGTGGTCTCGGCCCAGTCTTTCTGGGCATTCTAAACTACATGAACTATGATTCAAATTCTGAGTTTCTGTGAGGACAGTGTGAAACACAGAGGGCAACAGAGGCGCTGATACTGAATGTCTGCACTAAGAAAATAAGGGCTTACTAGGAATGCTACAGACTCTGTGCCTGGGCCCTCACTCCTCACCACTCGCTTCCTGGGCGCCCTCACACAAACCCAGTCCCCTCTCTGCCCATACCACTACATCATTCCCCCAGGGAAAGGCGGAGACTTCACTCCACTTGTGGGAGAAAGACCCAAATCCTGACCACAGCCTACATGGCCAGACCCACCTCTCCAACATCAGCTCCCACCCGGCCTGGCAGCCTGTTCCCCGAAGCACAGCACCCTTCTGTTCTTCACCCCTGCCACTCCCCTCGCACCTCAACACCTTTGCACTTGCCTTTCCTTCTGCCAGGCACATTCTCCCACACCCGCGTCCCTTCTCCTGATTCAGCCCCACCCCTCAGGGCTCAGCGTCAGTGCACTTCCCCTCCAGGCCGGCTCCATCTCGGCTTTGTGCTTTTGAAAAACCTCAGACATTCCCTCCTCGGCACCTAGCCCACCTGTAATCCACAGTCTTTTGAGTTAGTCTTATTTATTGTGATTCTTCCACACATCTGTAGACTTCCTGAGGGCAGGTCCAAGCCTGTCTTGTTCATGAATATACCTCTAGTATCTGGCTCTGTGCTGTGCACATAGTAGACACTCATCAGTATTTGTTAAGTGAATGCATGACTTGCTGTGTGCCTTAGGCCAGTCTCTGCCTCTCTGGGCTTTGGTTTCCCCATCTGAAAACAAAGGGGACAGATGGTCTGTGAGAGCCCTCACAGGAGAGGCTGAGAGGCAGCCAGACTGTCACAGGATGGTGGTCCCGAGGCTTTGCGCACTCCTCACCACTAAGGTCCCCTCTGGCCCCTCTCCTCTCCATGACAGCTCATGCACACAGCCCATGTGGTTTGAAGGGCTCTTTCAGGAAATTCAGAAGTATTACCTAATTAGCAGGTAGTCCTAATTAACAGCCAGTCCTCACCACAAGTACCCGATAGAAGTTGGGAAAGTCACTGCTCACAGGTCTCTCTGACTCACCCACCCGATGGGAGCTCTCAGCAGGCAGGAACCATGTCTGAACTGTCCGTGTGGCGAGGAAACCAGCCCAGGGCCTGGCACAGCCTGGGCATCAGGACTAGTGTCCTGAATTGAATCTGGATCTTGTCCAGGCCCCAGGAGCCTCTCACTGGCACACCCTTTCTGATCCCGGCTCTGTGACCACAGCAGGGACGGTTCCTCTCTCCAGAGCAGAGCAGGGAGCTGCTCCGCAAGGGGTCCTCCTCCTGCTTCCCTCAGCTGGGTGTTTGTCCAGTAAGACTTCTTCATTTCCAGACTCTCAGACCCAGTGTCGAAAAGCATGGCAGGGCAGCCTAACGAGAGGGCTGGCCGGGAGGTACCACCAGTACCATCGTACACGGCTATGGCCGCGGGGTACTTACAGATTTCCGCCTTCACCCTGACGGGATAATGACCCAAGACCACCTCAAATGGCTCAAAAGATCATTACACCCCCTGTGGAAAGAGCCCCGGGAAAGTCCACCATTCAGCAGTGGCAGAGCAGCCAGACAAATCATGTCCCCTCCCGGCCAGCAGGAGAGTCAGAGGCACCAGGGCAAGAAGTCACCAGAGCCCCTGACTTCAAACAAGCCCTCCCGACCTCGTGGGATGCTGCAACCAGCCAAGGACCGCCGAGGGCAAGGAGAAGCCGCCTCTGAGTAGAAGATGGTGTTCTCACCCGCACCCAGCCAGACACCGTGGGAGGACCACCCAGGCCTGTGTCGGGGCAGAGGTGTGGCAGGAGGTGAGTCATGCAGCATACCTGCTCGGGCTTGATGGGCTCCGTGGTGGTGAAGATGTCCGAGTAGTGCTGCCTCTCAAACACGCGGTCCAGCACCTCCAGCTGCTGCTGCGTGAACAGGTCTCCCCGCATCTGCTTCCGGAGGAAATCTCTGCCCGGCAGTGAGTGGCCGTTCGGCACCGGAGACTCCTGAATACCTTTGATGAGCATGAGAGAGGAAGGATGAGCGCAGCTTATACACATTGCTGAAGACAGACATGTCGGACCCTGGGGCTGGGAAGAGGGCCTGAGAGACCCACGAGCCCAGAAGCAGACAAAGGGGTCCTGGCCAAAGTCACCCTGCTGGTCAGTGCAGGGCCAGCCTTCCACATGCCAGGCCCTGTGCGAAGCCCTTTGTACATGCATCATCTCATCTAATCCCCACAATGACCCAATGAAGATGATATTATTTTCCCATTTTTCAGATGAGAAAATTGAGGTCTAGAGAGATCAAGTGATTTGCCTGAGGACTGGAGCTCAGGTTGACTTAGAGGCTTATCCTGCACTGGCAGTCCTCTTGGAGGTACGGTTTTGTCCCAGAGCTCATGCCCTTGCCCGGGTCATTTGTGACCACAGCACGGAACCAGTCTATGGAATACTGTTAGGAAGGCTGTAGGGAAACAAACACTCTCATACCATTCTGGTGGAAGCTTACTGGTCACACACCTACAATAGACAATTTGACAAAATCTTTCAAGATCACAAATGCACATTCCCTTTGATAGAGCAACTGCACCTCTGGGAATATAAAATAAATTATAGCTGAACTTACACATATGGGCAGTGATATAGGTTCAGGTTCTAGTGGCAAAATACTGGAAACAACCCAAGAGTTATGTGGTAGGGGCTGGTTAAGTCACGGTATGCCCACACCAGGGAGTGCGTGTGGCTGCGAAGAGGAAACGGGGTGCCCTCTGTGAACTGATATGCAAAGAACTTCAAGATAAATTTTATATGAAAAACGAATAAGCACAGTAAAGTACAGCATGTACAATTATACCTTCTGTGTATAAAGGGAGAAAATAGTTTACACAATGCATTATATATGTATATAATATGCCTGTGTGAATATAATAAATATCTATTAATATGATACACTATAATTATATAAAATATACTAACATACTATACATATATAATATATATTATATAATGAATATATATGTAATGTATATACTGAATATACATATTAAAATGCACTTTACATGAAAGGCACACACACACATAGGAACTCTGAGAGGAAACAGAAGAAATATTTATAATGGTTACCCATCCAGGGAGGTAGAAACTAAAGGGGGATGAACACAGGAGAGAGGGACTTTCTCAGAGCATGTTTGTTTTGTTTTGTTGCAGAACTTTAAATGCAATGCCTATTCAAAAATGTAAATTACCAAGAAACTATAGGATTAAATTCTCGGTGTGTTCTTTATTGTTAGCTCTTCATACTGTTAATAATCTCTGGTGATGATGCTTACATGTCAATGAAAATATTATGAATTATAAAAAAAAAAAAGCAGCCCTGCCCTGTTCGGCTCAGCGGTTAGAGTGTTGGCCTGCGGTCCAGAGAGATCCAGGTTCGGTTCCCGCTAAGGGCACGTACCTTGGTTGCAGTTTGTCCCCGGCCCTGATTGGGCCGTGCGGGTGGCAACCACTCGATGTGTCCCTTTCACATCGATGTTTCTCTCTCTCTCTCTTCCTCCCTCTCTATCTGAGCAAAAAATGGAAAAATATCCTCGGGTGAGAATTAAAAAATATATATATAAAAAAAAAGCAAGTGGGATGGAATATCTTTTGTGAGCCTGGGGCTTGAACTGTTCAAAATGAGAGCAAACAAGGAGGCCAAAGGTTTCCAGTGAGGGAACAGCCTCAAGGGCAATCATCCCTCAGGGTCCCTCCAGGACCAAGCTGCTCGTGCACGGCCACGTGGAGACACTGCTGGAACCCAGGCCCAGAGGCACAGCTCTGCCTTGGCCACTCGGAGCCCTCCCTCCGGCTCGCTGCTGACCTACACTTCATTCAAGTCGAAACCCCACCCATGTGAGGAATGAGGCCAAACCAGGGGCTTGAAGCAGCAGGATATCGTGTCACTGAGATGCTGCCAAAAACTGTCCTATCTGGGAGCAACTTCAACACAGGGTCTGACATTTGAACAAAGACACCAGCTTTGGGCTTCATAGGAGTGTTGACCTTTCAGAGAACCCCAGCATCTTCTATAAGAAAAGTCTTCAGAAGTGGCTCATGAGCACCCTGAGAAAACAAATCCCAGATGAATTTTGACCAGAGAGGATACCATAGGCTGGGTCCCTGCCCTGCCCATAAGACATCATCCTCATCAACGTCATGATGCCCCTTCTTCCATAATGGCCCATCCCCATGGGCACCAAGACTAGCAGGAGGTGGGAGCTCATGGCCCAATCTGTGTCTGCCCAGCGTGTTCTCCCATTAGTTGGCATCCACCAAATGATCCTCTTATCAAAAGTACTGTGCGTGTGTGCACAGGTACACACACACACACACACACACAGGAAGAAAGCTCAGCTTGCTCCTCCTCAGCTCTCACTCTGGCCAGTCATCCTGGCCCCAGCCACTCCTGCCAAAGCTTGACCTTGACTTCAATCCAATGGTGTTCCAAAATTTCTCCATGTCAGAGAGATCACATCCGCCAACTTCACTTATATTCTCCTCTCCCCATTCCCCATCCTGCCAGCCAGACCTAAACTCCTAATGAAGGCTCCTTCCTTTCAGCCAGCTCCTGGCTATTCCCACCAAGGCCTCACCTGCCCCCATTTGGGCAGGGCCCACCTCTTCTCTCCCACTGGGGCCCCCCATCAGAAATGCCCCAACTCTCCCCTTCCAGGAGGTCTCTTCCTGCCCGCCAGGCCATCCTCCCACAGATGTCCTGAGGCTCGATCCCTCGCCCATGGTGATCACAGGCTGGGTTCTTTGCCTTCACTGAGGAAGCTCAGAAAGGCTGGCTCAGCTGAGCGCTCCTGTGTGCAAGGTCACTCTGGTCACCGAGCAGAGCCCAACACAGAGCAAAGATTCAGCAGAGGCCAGCTCAAGTGCATGCACTAGGGGTCCTGGAGGCTGTCCCCTCAAGGACACCACACATAGTCCAAGAAGAGACAGCTTCGCTGGGACCTGCACTGAATCTTCCAGGAAGAGGACCTGTGTCCCGCTCTGGCTTTCCGAGTCAGCCACAGCCCCCAGAGCTGAACGAGTGGCTCGCCTGTCCTGGTGACCCAGACACTCAGAGTGGAGGGCTGCGGGCTGGGAAGAGCTGCCTCTCCAGGCACTTCCCCAGCTGTACGGCTCTTGCGCGTCGCCCCGGCCTGGCCAGCACCTCCACGTGCTTTCTCCGCCGAGAAGGGGGATGAAATCTCCCCGTCACTTTGCACAGGTGCCTCAGGCCTGCCATTTCCTTAGGGGTACTTCAGACACTCCTAAACACATAATCACTTCTTCATCTATTCCACAAATACTGATAAAGTGTTGACTCTGTACCAGGCAATATTATAAACAACAACAGGACACAGGGATGACCAAGAAAGGCCCCTCTCTCCAAGCTACGAAGGGCAGCCCACGCTAGTCAGGTACTCACACAACAGCTCTCTGACGACAAATGGTGCTTACTGCTGAGTAGAAAAGGTGTCTCGAAATATTTACATATGACCATTTTTAATGGGGTCCTCCAAGGGGAAGTCATGCTTGAACTGAGGGTGGAGGGCGCAGGTCAGCAGGGCAAAGAGGGCAGGGGTGGGCAGTGTGCCAGGCGGGGAGACCGCTTGTATAAAGGCTGGTAGATGAGAGGGAATAACAAGAAAACAGGGAGTGAGGAGAAGAGACCCCCGAAGACTAGAGAGGCCGGCAGGGGTTTGGCCAGGCAGCCAGGGAGGCCCCACAGAGGATCTGAGGCCTTGCTGGGAGAACAGGGGCGCCATGGCAGGGGGCTAGGGAAACAATCCCCCTTCATATTCCTCAGACCCAGGGCCTGAATCACTAGTTGCTTTGGATCAGGCCATGTTTTCTAATCCCTGCTCCCAAGTTTCCTCTTTGGAAAGACTAGGGTGCCGGCAACATGAATTTTGCATTTGTGGGCATGTGAAGGTGATGTGTAGGGCCAGCCTGTCAGCCACAGGTGGTCCACCATGCCCTCACGAAAGATGAACTATTCCTCACAGTCACGCACAGTGTTACCAGGACAGACACAGCCTGCAAGCTCACATGTCGCCTCCTCCAGGATGCCTTCCTTCATGTCCCAGCGGTTTTCCCTTTGACCACTTTCTCCTTGGACCTTTCACTTTCACCCTGTACTATTAGCTACCATGTGTGTGTGTGGGGGGGGGGAGTACCCCAGTTAATTTATCTTGTCTTCTCCACAGGGAATATTTCTGGAATAAATGAACAAATTAGTAATACACATGACAACCACCTTCCCTGCACAGGTCTGGTCTGCAAATGTCAGGATCCCTCTGTCTGACCTCATTCATTCATTCCTTCTTCCCTCAACCGGCCTTAGTGAGCAGGCACTGTGCTAATACTAGGCATACAGTGATGGGCAAGAGCTGGCCCAGCCCTGGTCCCCATAGAATTATGTCCAATAGAAGAGGCAAATGTTCACTGAAAAATAATCAGACCAATAAAGGTAAAAGTGTCAACCAGTATAAACACTCTGACAGAAAGGCTCCGGGTTCTCAGGCCAGGAGCACAGCTGATCTGCCTCCGGTCCGCACACGGCAGGTGCTGCTCGAGAGACCACAGAAATGAGCACCAGGAGATGCTCCCAGCACAAAGGCAGAGCTGAAGCTCCAGGCCAGCAGTGTCTCTCATCTGTGCTGCAAAGATGACTTCACTGGGGAATGTGGTTTTGGAGACAGACTACAGAAACACTCGGACCCATTTTACTCCCGGGAGAAAATCTGAACTCACAATGTGAATGTTATGCTTAAATATATGGACAGACATGGGCAAAAGTACAAAGGTATAGAGGGGGCATGGTATCTTTAAATCTTTTTTTTTCTACTCCAAATCAAATAATATGTAATAGACCCAGTGCTGGGCTTAGTCAACCATGGCTGTCAGAATTAACATTCTGGAAGCTAGCTTCAGGGGAGCAAGGGGCAGGAAAACCCGTCTCGGGGAGCAAAGAAATGCTGGC